GTATAACAACTTTTTAAAATCTTTATTTAGTTTAAATCCTCAACATTTAGTAATTTAATCATATACCCTTTTTTTTTTTTAATTGGATTATTTTTTTTTATGGGACAGTTGTGGCTCATCTTAATTTGCTACTATATATTTGTAAATTATTATAAAATAATTATAGTTTTGATAGTGGTAATGATAATATACAACAATAGCATTCAAACCTATGAAAACAACATAGCATTCTCAAATTTTTGGTCATTAATACATCAAAAAAAAATTTTTCTTGGATTCACTTATTTAAATGTATTTAACCTCCTTTTCTTTATCAGATGTTCGATTATCTATATTATTAAGCAATTTAACAGCTTTATCAATCAATAAATGCAGCCAAGATATGATCATCATTGGCAATTGCTTAATAGTTTGTGAAAGAGTTAACGCGTCTTTATAAAGTTTTTTTTTCATTTACATTATAAAAAAAAATTTATTAATTTTTCTAATATGATCAATCAATATCACAAACAAATGTATGAAAGCTACTAAAAATTCTGTCAATATAATGAATGTAAAAATAATTTTAATTGGAATCGAATTAAAGAACGTGATAAATTATTTTGATATATAATGGTAATGGTTCTTTTTTTAGAGGTGACTAGCACACTCTGTTTTGTAAAAGAGTGATTGCCTGCATAGTTTATAAACAATTATAATTTAAATTTAAATGGAAAAAATAAAGAATGAAGGAAAAAAAAAAAAACAAAAAAAAAAAAAACAAAACCCAAGCATGATGAATATATGGAAAAAACGTTATTTTGATGAATTAGAATGATATAGAAACCGTTCTATCTTTTGAACCCAAAATAATTCTTTTTTACTATCATTAAATCCTAGAAGTCATATGGTTTCTATCATTACTTTATCTTCAAAATGATGGAATTCTAAGTAAATACAATCAAATACATTTAATCCTCTACCAAGAAAATACAGAAATACAGAAAATACAAGAAAATATTACAGATGAAAGAAATAACCAAGGTATACATTAATGACATGAATCTTAAAGTTCACTAAGTACGTATATTTCAATCGGTGACCGTTGTCCTTTCATGTTGGTCTAATATCCAGGCAGTAACAAAGTCCGACTTTTCACCATTCTTGGTTGTTTTTTTTGCCGATGCAACATCTGGCGTTGATACCACAATTTCTGGTAATATTGAATTGCGATTAACCGATGAGGAAGACAAACTATATCGATAATTACGTTTCATAGGTGATTTTCTTGATGTTTCTTGTTCGTTATCATTATATGAAGGTGGTGGCGGTAAAAGAACTGAATCATTTTTATCAAGTTGTTGGTTATTTGAATCACCCGAGACACTCCATATCCCGAAAGAAAAATGACGTTGTGATGGTGACACTTGTATAAAACTAAGATCAAAGGCATTTTCTGGATTTGTTGGACCACATAAGACTAAAATTATGCATAAAATCATTGAACATGAAGATACTAGGGTTATAATAACGGAGACAATTTTGGATGCCCATGGGGTTACTAAAATTACACTAAGGTATAAAGATATCGCAATTGCACCAAAACAGTCTAATAAATATTTTGCACAAAAAAAACCATTTATAACATTCAACTATGATAATAATAAATAAAAAGATAGTAATAAATATAAAAATTAGTTCATAATATTTATAACAAATTGAGAATATAATAATTAATAAAAAAATAAATTACCCTTGTTATTGAATTTCTCATCAGTCTTAACCGACCATATTTACTAGAATCCATATCGGTATCCATCAATAAAGCAATACTAGCTTCAGCAAATCCTTTAACTTTTCTTCCAAAATAAATAAAACAAAAGGATAATGAAGCGCTACCAATAGCATGAACCATATAATGCGCACTGCTCATACGAGTTTCAAAATTCATATTATTAAAATCTTGTGGCTGATATGGCTGTTGAGCCTGAGACCATTGAGAACGAAAATAGCCAGTGAGCAACCCAAGAGTAGCAAGTGATGGAAAAATAATGACAGAATAAATACGAAAAAACCATATCATGGTTTTATGGGATGATATGGTAATTCGAAATGATTTTTTTGAGTTGGGAGATTTTTGAATCCCATTACCCGCAAATCTTGTATGTGGAATGGCGCTTAATCTTTTTACAGTACAGTATTAAAAAAGAAATAATAATCAGTATACCAAATAAAGTAAGAAGCAGATACTAACGTTAAACACTTACATTCCGATCATGAACAGAATTATTGAAACTGAATCACAATAATATGGTATATCATATACAAGCTCTAATATTGCATCGTCATTTTGAGGCAAACCAATAAGAATAATGACATCACTTGCAATTCGAGCTAGGAAAAAACCAAGAAAGTTAGAACATACTTAAGCTTTAACAAATAAGGAATGTTTATTAAACTTACTTAATGCATGCAGAACTTGCCATATCAAAAAGCCATCAAGACTCGATACTTTTTGTGTAGACTTTATGTAAAAGCGTCTTTTCCACCAAAGACCCCCGGCAATAATTGCCAATATGGAAGCGAGAGCTATTGAACAATAATTTACAATTTCATAAAAAAATACATCCTCACATCTATGAATATTTAAGTAGAAACTAAGATTGTAAACATCAATGATCGGGTGTAAAGGAATTTATATAAATATGATACGAGTTAAAATACGATAAAGGTAACTTAAAAGCTAGACAATACATTTGTTATGAATGAGTGCAGCCAAGTGAAAACCAAAAAGTCTAAATATAGTATTATTATAAAATAAATATTTATTCTGCATTTAGAATACTTGGTTTTCGTGGTTTTCACCTGACAACCTTCAAATGTTACTCACCGACAGTATTGAGGAACCCAACTAGGTTCTGTCTTGAAGGAGTCCAGCATTGAGATCCTGATCGCATTAGCTGTACCGAGCGAACAACTTATTTTGTAATGTTATTGGCCTGCAACTAAAGAAGAGGACCTTTAACTTGCCCTTCTTCCCACTTCAACGTCCTTTGTAGTTATATCGTACAATTTTTTTTTTTTTTGTTTTTTTTTTTTCTTTGAATTTATTCAAGAAAAAAAAAAATCTTTCTTTGTCAACGATTTAACGAAGGTGGTTGGTGGTTGGTAGTAAACATCAAAAAAAATCAAAGTAATTCATTACGGACTATCGACATACATAAATAACTCTAAATATATGGTGTTAGTTATATGTTACCGTTATCGTTATCTGTATTACGGTCTTAAAACCACGTTTCTGCTGTAACACATCAAAACATCGATATGGGTATTGACGTATTGACACGCTATGATGCGTATGAAAAACATTTGATCCACACAAATAGGTAAAAAAATCTTTTTTATAATTAGGATAATTAGGAGAGTTATGCAAAAATCTGTATGACTTGAGACAAGGAGAATATTTATATTTATAGGTATAACGTTGGTTATCATCAAATCACGTTTTATGAACATGATTCCTTTTTTTTTTTTTTTTTTTTTAAAAAAAAAAAAAATTACAGTACTTGCACACTTAACCTCAGCACCTCAGCATATAAGATTGAATAAAATAATAATAAATTATATACTAATAATAACAATAGTAATACGTAATAATAATAATAATATTATTATTATTATTAATAAATTATTAATAATAATAAAATTCGGTTATTAGAATCCAGGTTCTACGTAGGCCGGGTTACATTGACTTACCGCATGCCTCAAATCGGACAAAATTAAATAATTGTTCATAAATATATCAGATTTATTTAATTAATAAGGTAATTTATTAGTCTTTTTTGCAATAATACCTTTTGTTACAAATAACCAATTAGTTCATCAGATCCTTTGACATTACTATGCTAAAATATAAAACAGCAATTTTTCTATGTAAATCCCGATTCAAGTATTATTAAAACCTAATAATACGCAACGATAAGCAATATGCTTGTGTAAACTTAGAATCCTTATTTTATATGTGTAACTAAGTATCGATCAAAATAATGTGCAAGATCATTATTTAGGATCCAGAAAAATATAATCCGTATCCGGATTCATAGCGAGTTAAAATTAATTTCCTGATAAGAGCAGAAATTTTTCATAATTGCCTAATATTACTAATTTCGTCTTTATCTAATATGTAGCGGTAGTTATAGTAAAATACAGATGAAACTCTTACGTCGTACGTATCTGAAAAATTCTGATACGTAATCGAGGTTCATTTAATAATGGTAAATCGGTTATTTCAAATTATATTAATATGCAAATCGTTTTAATATGCAGTTTGCACATATGTATATATGTACGTACTGGGAAATGTGAACCATTGAAGATCCAAATTGCGTAGAAACCATAGTATGTGTGTTACTGTAATAGAAATAAAGCAGATTTATTAGAGAAATCTGTCTTATTCTATTGATAGCAATTCAATACTATTTATCCTCGATCCTGAATATAGATACTTTCAAGTTTGATGATCCAAATAGGGAGACTTGGTGACTTCAATTTGGATATTAAATCTCCTAACAAATTTCGTACACACATAAAAACTTGATTCAGCTTTAGTTTCAGACTGAACAAATGAATGTTAGCTTTATGAGCAACGTTATACTAATCTAATAAAGGATTCTCTGATTCTACGTATTTGCAGAACCTTAAAGTTGTCGGTGAGATGTGCGTGTGCGATAAGAAATAGCCAATCAGAGAATGTAAATTCCAATCTTCCTGGATCAGCCCGACTTAAAACTTGACACGTGCAAACGAAGAAAAGCGACAATTAAAAATATTGATAAATCAATCTTTGTTGTACTAAATGAAAAAATAACAGGAACGGAACTTTACATAGAAAAAAATTTTTTTTTACGCTAGATTTCTCTTTTTGGCTTTGTCTCGCGCAGATCTTTTGTTGTGCAACATTAGATTTAATGAATGTGTTCGGAACTTGCCGTAGTAAACATAAAACTTGTAAAACCATCATTACATGCGCGATAAATTCCAGTGTTTAATACCGCTTTCTTGTACTCCCTAAAGATAAATCAAGAATTTCCTAATAATACATTCTTCAATACCATCTGATGTTTGCTGAAATATCGATATAGGATTAGAAGAATTTCCTTTAATGTTTAACTCATGTGCATATGTAGGTACGTACGTAATAGAATTTACTGCGATACAATTTATTATTTTATGGTTTTCAAGAATGCAATACCTTTATTACTTCGGAATCCCCGAATGCCTTTATTAAGAAGTTCAGTGAGTGCTTCATTCACACAACTACTTTCAAGAAAAATATTCCGTAATACGTATTTCGTAATATTTTGAGGGGAAATTGCCCAATTTCGTCCGTGAATTCGCGAAACATTCACTTATCAAAGATTATATAATATATTTTATGCTGTGCGATAGTGTTGATGTTACCTACCTCCAATAGTTTTAAATGTTTACAATTTAAGTCAATAATTAAGACAAATAATAAAGAAAATTAGTATCCGTAATAAACGGTTTATTGGAAATGACTGTTATCAAAGACTCTTTACAAGATACGTATGTACAATACGTCTTTAATCAAATTGTTATGAATTTCACGTTCACTAATTTAGTATCTTAAATACTGTTATCGATGTTTTATTAGTAATACGAGTATGATTATTTTCTTTATGCTACTACTGATACTGTAAGATATTTACAAATATAACGATAACAGATAAGAAATGTTAATCGTTAAAATTGACACGATAGTAATAGATTTTTATCTTTATGGTAACTTATGATTAAGGAATTCCTACTTGATGTTTACATTCGGATACTTTACACGAAATCTTTTTTAATTTGTAATGCAATATCGATATGTAAATAAACCTTTGATATTTTGAATTTTTTGAAGGTATTCGTTCAGTATATTCAAAAGTTCTCTTGACAAGCTCAAAATTTATATATTTTGCAGTGGAACGAGCTGAAAATTGAACTTGGCTTATGAGACTTATATTTTAAATACTGTATTTCTGCGACATGTGTACCCCCCTGTGGGCTGTACCCTGCGGCGATTTTGGATGCCATATACCCGGGCATTTAATAGTAAAACATACTACAGTCCGGGATTTTTCCATATTTGGTATTTCCAAATATTGCAATGATCTGCATTGTACAACGATACAAAAATTTTCTAGAATCGTTGAATAGAACTAAACATGATTGGCTAAAAATTTTTCTTATAAGTGCTAGTTCA